TTTCTGTTTGTTAAATAATCTTTAAACCATAAATAGGGTATACCACGAATACCATATCTAGATAACTTAGAAAGTAATATGTCGTGATCCATTACATCGAAAGCTTTCGACAGGTCTAAAAATATACCGATAACAAACTTATTTGAGTGCAATGCGTTACATACTGTATCATTAAAATCAATAAGAGCATGATCAGTTGAATGGTTTGGCCGAAAGCCATATTGATGCATGTATAAAATATTGTTATGTTCAAGAAATTTATATAGACGAACGTAAACTAATTTTTCTAGTAACTTTGAAAAACAAGGAAGTAAAGAAATTGGACGATGGTTGCATATATCATAAGGATCCCCTGTTTTTGGTACAGGAACAATTTTTGCAGTTTTAAGCCGGTTTGGAAATTTTCCAGTCGAAATTGATAAATTCATAATGTGCATCAACGGACGGGCTATAGCGTGAATAGATTTCTTTGCTATATTTTGACTAACATCATCAACTCCAGTGCTATTTGTATTCTTTAAATTCCTAAAAATATTTATAATTTCGTTTTCAGATGTAGGGCACAAAAATAACGAATTTGGATTTGATGCGTTCATGTAATCCAAATGGTGTTTATAAGAGCGAGGAATCTGGGCAGCTGTTTTGGTTCCAACGTCATTAAACATTCTATTGAACAGTTCGGATATTTCGCACTCATTGTCTACTATCACACCGTTGACTTTGAAATGATTCGGCAGGACTTTAGCTTTTCTATTTAAAATACCATTGATAATGCCCCAGGTTTTCTTCAGGTTATTAGAGTTGTATTTAAGCATATCACCATAGTATTTTGTTCGTGCTTGTCTTAGAAGAAAAGTAACTTTATTTCGATAAGATTTATACTTCCTACTCAAATCTGAAGAAAATTTCAACTTCAATTGCTTATATAACTTATTTCTCCGATTGATACAAGAGAAAAGAAAATTATTTATCCACGGTTTTCGAATTGATTTTTTCTTCCTACTTTTCTCCTTGAGGGTAAAGTGTTTATCATACAATTCAGAATAGATATCTATAAATATATTATATGCCTGTTCGACATTTGTGGATCTATAAACACACGTCCAATCATATAAATGTAGACCAATGCAAAATTGTGCAATGTTTGCCTCCGTAAAATGCCGTGTACGATTATTTAAGATAGGAATAGAAACCTTTAATTTGTAGTTAATTTGAAAAATTGGAAAATGGTCTGTAATATCACAATATAGAACTCCAGAATGAATATCATCGATAACGTTTGTGAATATGTTGTCGATCAATGACATTGATTTCGATGTTATTCTGGTGGGTTTGTCTATCAAAGGATATAAACTATTAGAGTGGAGAATACTCAAGAAGTCAGAAACATGAATATTTTGTGAATTATGTAAGTTTATATTAAAATCACCCATTAAATATATGCTTTTATTTTCTTTACTAATCTTAATGAGAAGTGCCTCGATTTCTTCAAGGAAGCAGGGAATATTGGAAGCAGGTGGACGATATATGGTTCCAACTATAATATTTTTTCTTTCAGATATATTTATCTCAATAAAAATGGATTCGATGTTATCATTGCACATTTTTAAGTCATCTCTGGTCTTGAACTCGAAGCAATCTCTTACTAACATAGCAACACCCCCACCCTTCTTTTGTATTCTGTTGGAGTAAACAAAATTATATCCAGAGAAATCGAAACAATGTGGTGTATGTTCTTGAAGCCATGTTTCCGTGAAAGCAATAATGGAAAAAGGATAGTTAATTGCTGATAAAAAATCTGAAATATCATTGAAATTTTTGGACAAACTTCTTGCGTTAAAATGTATAGTACTAAAGAAATATTCTTCTCTTGTGACATATTTAGAAACAAATTCCTGAGGTATGTAATAATTGCATTCACTGTTCTTAAAAATATCGCAATGTAAATCAGGGTCAATGTCATCAAGTGCATTCAAATTATCTTTTAACAACTCAAGTCTGATGGTATTGAAATTTTGTAACGAAATTGTAGAATCGGCAGTAAACATATTAGATTTGAAATCTTCGTCGCTAATCAGACTAAAAGGAAATATGCATATTATACAATCTTTGCACATCCAATCAGAAACATTTTGAATAACATGACATGATTCATCGTGAAAACAGTCACAGTTTATACAGCAAACGGAAGAGTTTGTTTTGACGGTGCACCCACAACAATTAGTATTTGCTCTGTATCCAATCATACAATAACGAATCAAACACTCATACAGACACACATACACTCACTCCAAGATAGCAAGTTCAGTACTTTGTATTCTCTATACAGATAGGTTTCACAGTCCAAAAATGAAGGAAAACCCCCCACCCCCAATCCGCCAAGTTGTTGACATGCTTGACGATTGCATAATAGAACATGTTACATAATCAACTAAACTGTTTACATTCTTGGATTACTGAGTGCCGAAGTATTAATTCAAAGAATTTGGAATCGCATTCTATGAATAAATGAATTAAATCATTTTGTTAAATGGTTGACATGGGAACGGGCTATGCACATGTAGATGGTACTGTAATAAGGCGTGCTTCAAATCAAGATATTTCGATTGAAAGAGTGTAAAATAAAGAATATAAATGGCATATAGTTACATAAAATAGTATTTTTTTAAAAAATTACAAAAAGAAAAACGGTGACGTGTCGTAAAACGAAATTCCATGTATAGACGCATCAGTTGAGAGCTCGTCACATGACCAGAAATATTTGACCTATTTTTAGAAAGTACTATATGAGAGTACTATTTTGGTTTACTATTTGGGAGTTGAAAAAAAAAAAGTGAAATTTTTCTTTGAATTGAATCAATTTTTTTATCAAATCTTAATTTAATGAAAAAAAAATATCTTAAATCTTTTTAGATAAAAATTGACATTTTTTTTGTTCTAAATTTGTTTTTCCCAAATTTTGTTGTTGTTGTTGTTGTTGTTTTTTAAAATAAATTTTTGATGCAGGATATAAAACAAATATACCATGCCTTCTATTCGAGGTACTGGTTAAACTATGGGCCTCGATGACTCCAAAAGTACCATTTGCTTCGCAAATAGTACTATTGGAGTCACCTCTTGCGCATAGTTTTAACCAGAACATCTCAAGGCAGTGTATATTTGTATAATATTTACATTTTTAAAATATGTTTTTATTATTTTTTAAAATTCTATTTCTCATTATTTCATTATTTTTAAAATGCAAATATACTTTTGATCATTAACTAATTTGAGAGAGAGCATATTTACAAACAATGATACAATCGGCGGTTGCAGGGTAGTAAAAGAGTTACTAAAAGGTAATCTGTAATAAAATATAAAAACGCAACAAATACAAAACCAAACAAAAACACACACAAGATAAACACATGAACAGCGGACATAAAAAAAAGCAGTTAAAACAATACAATGGGTTTTAAAACTTATTTAAACACATTTCTAGAATATCACGTTCAATGATGCGTAGTTATTTTATCCAATTTTTTAATGCACTGTGTTGTCTTAACTTGTGTTATGGTAAATCAAACTGTACATTACCTACATGGTTGTATGATTATTATGATTATGTAAATATCGGGCAGTACTAAAATCTTACAAGTAAATTCAGTACAACACAATTTTTAAACCAATGTTTAGAATTAGCAATAGAGTCGAATCAAATCGAGTAATTTTGCATTTTATTGAATTCTGGGTAGGTTATATAAATGTATTTGAAATAATATTTGCTAGAGACAGCTATTTCGAATACTATACCTAACAGTAATCATAAACCTAACTCAGTACAGAAAAGGGAGATATCACCCCTACTCTGTATCATGTTTGTCTTTGATTAAAATGTCGGAAAGTTTTGCCTCTAAAGTATTATGACGCACTTTTCAAATTCTATGGACATTTATTCTTGTAATTTGAATTTCACAATGATTTCTATGAGTTTAATAATTGATTTAAATAATGTACACATAGCTCTACATGTGTTTGTCTAGATATGTTCCATTATAGTCTAATAACTGTGATGCCCCAAATTGCTTCAACAATCTACCAAATAACTGAAAGTGATATATTGAACATTATTGAATAATATCTACTTGATTTTGAAATGAAATGACTCATCGTCTCCAATTTATTCTCAAAAGCATTAAAATACCACTCATGATTTCATTCCTAGAGCAAAAAATGTAAACCCACATGCCCCAGGTCTACAAGTTTTGTTATTTCAGATCCATTCACATGCAGATTCAAAGAATGTGATTAAAAAAGAAAAAAAAAATCGGCATTATTTTATTCTTGAATAATGATACATTTTGGAGAAGTGGAAACAAATGAAGCTAGCCTCAGAAAGAATGAATTTAATATGAATAAATTGTTGACGCCAGATGAATTATGCCTTTGCTGCTACACGTTAATACTATAACTCATCTGTACCTACGTGAAAGTCATCAAACCTTCACCCCTTTTCATTTTCTTCTATTCTTTTATTATTTTCATGATTTTTTTGATTGCATAAGTTCCTTTTATCACGTTTATTTTGTCATGTTTTCAATGCGAGGACTTAAGATTGTCATTTTCCAGTGATCTTGTAATCCCGATTAGATTTATCTGAATAAATGAATGAATGATTTTTTTTGTGTGTGGTGAATTCAACATTGCACCCTAAAAAGTCATAAGTATTATATATCAAATGTATCCAAACGGTCCTCTTACTTATTTCAAAAGGAATTATTTTATTTGATCCCCGATATCAACAGATTTCAGAATACCGTGAGTAGATATTGTAAATGAAAACGAATAAAGAGGAGCACAGGACGAAGAAAAGGAAGCCATTATTAGTTTCTGACAACTTTTCGTCATGGTATTTAAATTGGATACATGACGGTGAGAGAAAACGGTCAAGTCCATCAGCATAGTTTTTCATTCAGTTATTAAGATACACTTTATTATTTCACGATAAAATTTTAAAGCATGGTTCCATCTTCACGGAATAATTGATACTTGGGCATGAATATTTAATAAGTCAAGACTCAAAATATTTTGTCTCTCAACTTTTTTTCTTGATAACTCAAAATCATTTTGATTGACTTGGATCTTTCTTCTCCTCATGTATTCAATTCTTAATCAGCATATTATTAAGACTCTATTTAATTTATTTAAAAAAAAATCATATCACTTTTTAGAAGCCTGGCACGTTGAAGTAATCTCTCTTAATGGCGTCATTCGATTCTTCGGAGTTGGCTTCTTGATCTTCATAGGTATGAGGGTCGGCAGTATCATCGTTATTACGATCTTGGTAGGTATGGGGTTCAGTTTGCGGGTCTTGGTAAGTAAGAACGTCTGTCTGTGACTGATCAAATACAGGGTTCTCATACTGTGGAGATGAATCGGACTCTTTCCCCTCAGACTTAGTAGTGGCTGATTCATTGCTGAAAGTTAATATTATGAAAGCACAGCATCGAATAAATAGATGAAACAATAACAAATAAAGTCCAACTACAATATAAAAATGATGCACAGGTTTGAGTGCGTCGGTAGGGATTGTGTGCACAAGGTACCTTTGAATGGTTTTAGACCAAATTCAAAGGTACCGCGTGCCCACAATTCCACCGACCCACGAATTACACCTGTGCATCATCTGTTTTATAAGATGGGGCCCCAAAAATTGTCAAAAAGACAAAATGTTGTTATTTTACAGATTTACCGGATGCATGGCAAAATCATGCGTCCAGTAATTATCGGACGCATGATTTTCAACTTATCATGAAATAAAAAAAAACTAAAAATAACTGTCAGTGCACATTTTTTTTAAATTATAGATTTTTAATTTTTTTTCAAAACAGATTATAATTATCAAAAAACATGAAAAACAAATAATTATCACCCCAAACAAAATATTAAAAAAATAATTAAAAAAAAAAAAATTATTATTATTATTATTAAAAAAAAGGATATCGGTCGTATCGATCGCCGATATCGCGTGCATCCAGTAAAAATAAATACATGGTAATTGAACAATCAGATTGAAGGGATTCTTCTACCCATCTCATAATAATTTTAAGTATAAAAAAACAATCATAATTCAGCTTTTATTTTCATGACCATACGGTTTTATCATCTTGCGTGGAGGAGTTCGATGAGAATGGACTACTAATAAGAGGGACAAGTTAAGGACAAGGTATCTCTCTAACCTTCTTCGCTTGTAAAAGACGATGATGAGAACTATAACGATAACAATCACAACAATAGCACCAACAGCGCTTCCTACGACAGTTGCTATGGAGCTTGAAGAACCTCCAGCTGAAGTTGATTTTGGTGGAGAAGAGGTAGTAAGTGAAGAGGATGGTGTGGGACCTATATGTGTTAGTGGAGAGGATGGTGTGGGACCTGTATGTGTCAGTGAAGAGAAATGACAGAAGTTAGAATTACCAAGGAAGCATCAGAGTTAAAAGAGAAAATAAATCATATACTAGAATCGAAATACCAAGGTAGCATCAGTTGATAGATACATGGTAAATAAGTCAGGTACTAGAATATGATCATAATGAATACTGGCATGTGAACAGACCGGTCCCGGTGCCAGGTAAAAATGTCAGAGGTAAAACTATCAGAGGTACAATTGTCAGAGGTAAAAATATCAGAGGTACAATTGTCAGAGGTAAAAATATCAGAGGTACAATTGTCAGAGGTAAAAATGTCAGAGGTAAAAATGTCAGAGGTAAAAATGAAAAAACAGTCCGAGCGGACGAGCGGACGTGCTTTTCAGAAGCTCTCTAGGAGCTTGTAGATTTCTTGTAGAATTTTGCCAATATTGTTAAAAAATTGCCTCAATACCGGATATTTTGGGACTGTTTTGCTTCTTTACACTGATGAAATACAGGCCTATATACTTAGGATCAGAGTCAAAAGGCGCAAGTCCTGTGGGCTACTAACACATACCGCACCCTTAATTACACGGTAGACTGCACACAATGGAATTTCCCGCCCTTTTCAGGCAACCAACCAGGGCGTGGCCGGGGTAACACATACCGGCCAGGGCGAAGAGCCACTTCTTTTACGACCCAATGACGAAGATGAATTCCGAACAGTAAAACACTCCCGTAGGGAGCAAAAACCTAGAAATACACGCAGGCGCGAAGGAAGCATTGCAATTGAAAATCTTTCAATAAGAACAAAATCTTCTTCCTCAGAAGACCCAAAATACAACCCAGAACCGCCAATCGGAACTAAAAGTATTAATTACCCCCATTGATAAATCAAAATCGCTAAAGAACTAGAAATATCCGTGAAGCTTGTCCGAACCCTGGGGAATTTATAAAACCCACAGCACAAGGTCTCCTTATCAAGTGTAAAAACCAGAAACAAGTAAAAGCACTATCTCAAATTAGTAACATAGGAACCACCGCAGTAAAAGTTGCAGAAAAGCAGCAGGTTGTGAGAGGGGGTCATATATTGAGTACCTACATAAATGACAGATAACGAAATTAATTGATGTAAAAAGAATCATGAAAAGGTCAATATCAAATGTAAAATCAATTGAAATTGAAGAAAACAGGCCCAATTTTATCCCAATGAGAAGTGTTATCATCGCATTCAACTGCACAAACCTCCCCAGCAACATAACAATTTGCTATCAAAAGTTTGAGGTTAAACAATACATTCCCCCGTTTTTCCAGGGCAAAAATGAGATGCGTCAGATGCGGAGAGAACCATAAATTTGAGGAATGTAACCGAAAAGATAGACCGATATGTATAAATTGTGGCGGGAACCGTTCGGCGGCCTTTGACGGTTGTCTTGAAGCAAAGAAAGCCAAAAGATACAAATAGTAAAAGTCAAAAACAATCTTTCATACGCATAAGCTGCAAAAATACAGTCGGAGCAAGAAAAACCACAGCCGAAACCACGAACCAATTTCCCTGAATCACATCCCTCCCACGATGTTAACTCAGATAACCTCCCTCTTCCTCCCCGACCAGTGAGGCCATCCACATCAATCGGCCCTGAAAACGCCACCCCGCAACCAGATCCCCAGCCCTTGAACACCCCGCTGCAAAAAAAAAAAACGCACAGAGAAGTAAATTAATAGGTAACGATGAAAAAACTGAAGTAGAAGCCCTCCCTCGAGGTAACCTAGTAACATTGATGAGTGATGAGCAATTAATCTCTTTCATTACGCAACTTATTCTCACTTTTACGGATGGAAAATCTGAGAAGGAGATTTCATCCTTATTAAAAAGTGGCAGCTGAGAGGCTGCTCAAACAAAGAGTAAAACATGACGCTAAAGATGTACTGGTATAACATAGTAACAATGATGACGGCGCTAACCATAATATGGGAAGCGCAGAGACTTCTTAATCACGGTCCTGAACTTATAAAATACTTAGATTCATATAAAGATGTAAAGTAGCATTTAATTTGTGTTCAGGAAACATGGTTCATGATAGAATATTGCAAATCCCTGAATATACATGTTTTAATAGAAACAGGGAAAATCAATCTAAAGGACAGTGTGCTATTTATGTACATGATTCCATCAACTATGAATATCATGTCAATGACAAAGAATTCGAAATATAGCATATTAAAATACATGCTGCTGGATCGAAAATCTCCATAATCAATTTCTATAACCATTGCAAAAAATTAAACGAGTTTATTTTAAACAGGATGATTAACAAACTAGAATACAATCTATTCCTTATAGTTGGATATTTCAACTCTCATATTCCTGTGTGGGGTAGTGCGAAGATAGACCAAAATGGACACATAATTGAAAATTTCACACATGACAATAACTTTATAATTTTGAACGACGGAAGAGGAACCAAAATAGATCCACGTACTGAGAAAACTTCATGTTTGGATCTTAGCATCACCTCCCCCAAACTATCTTGCCTATGCTCGTGGGAAGTTTTGCAGCACACCCTTGGTAGTGACCATTTCCCCATCTCTACCCAGATATTACTGGACCGAGCAGGGCCAGTGAACAGCAACAGCGTGAAGATAAACGAGGAAACAACCTGGTCTTTAATTTGTTTTATTGGAACACTTTTGTGAACATAAAATTGAACATAGTGGCAACTTTTCCGACCCTACGAAAATGTATAAATGTTTTATGAAAAGTTTATCACAGACTATTAAAGACATAATGCCCAGAGGAGAAAGAAAAAACATGACCCTGTACATTGGTGGAAAAAAGAAAGAAACAGGGCAAATAATAGATTAAAAAGACACATTCAATAGAAAATCTAAATACATATTTGAAGAAAAAATCAGAGGTACAAAAAACTCTGCGCCAAGCAGAACGAAAATACTGGCAAGAGTTTTCCTCAAGACTCAACCGCTTTGTACCAGAATCAGCGGTATGGTCGACCATCAAACGGTTAAAGGGGGTATCTGTCAACAACAAAAACAACATGTCAGCCGTGATAGAAAATGAAAAAGAAATCACATGTAACAGTGAAATAACTGAGGCTTTCTCTAAGTTCTTCCAATCAATAAGTAATGTTAAAGAATGTCCAGAAATAAAAGAAAACAAAAATGTGGAGCAACAAGTCATGAAATTACTGAAATTACTGAAAATTAGAGATATTTATCACTTTATGGCTGAATGAGCACAGATTAAAGACAAAATGGCCCAATTCAAATGTCACACTACATTGTGCGTGTCTGTACATTGTTGTGAAACAGCTCATGACTGAATGCATCGATTGTGGTTTATGAAACAATGCTGATGGTATTTCATTCATTTTATTTTTGATTTGATTTGATTTGATTTTATTCAGACAATATAAAAATATATACATGTCTTGGGTTACAAAACAAGGTTTAGAAAAACCCATACAGGTTTGCATCCCAGATATGGACAGTAAAATGGCATACATAATTACACAGTAAATACTGATACATAAAATATCGAAGTATGACATAGATTTGACATTTTTGAATGGCACATGTGGTTAAATGCATTATTTGCAATTGTAAAACAGTGCATTTTGAATTGTTTTAATACTCAGTAATCTGCAATGATAATATTACTTTTGCGATTTTTTAAATATGAAAATAAAAATTCATTAATGTGTGCTTACTCAACCACGGATTAATGATAACTTCTTGTTACACATTGTTACCTAATTACCTTTGCAAAATTGCTAATAATTTTGCAAGACGAAATCTTGAAACGACTCTAGGGTAATTCTAAAATTATGAGCACTTATTGTGTAGGAGCGTAGTTACTTTTTTGTGACAATCAACCCTCGATTTTGTTTTCTTCCAAGGTGGCTCTTTTGTTAATTTACAAAAAAGAGCACCCCTTCAGGTCTCTCATGGGATATTTTTTCATGATGATGGAGGCTACTTTTTGGAATTTCATTTGTTTTCTTAAAAAAAAAACCCTTTGTGAAGCTTATTTTTTCTTCTTCTAATATAACATAAAAGTTCTGGCGTAATCCAGGGTTTGCGGATAAGTGGTTTCTTTACTTTACGTTTTAATATATCGTAAGTGTTTATCGAATGCATTAAACGGATAGTTAAGTTTTGTTGCAGAGGGCGCTACACAAAATAATGTTTTTGTGAGATGATGAAAAACTAAGTGTCAAATTTGAAAGAACATAACATTTAAATGACAAAATCATCTTTGTTTGATCAAAATCGGTTCAGAGACGGCTAAAATATAACGATTTCTAATACTTGTGTACCACCACAAATATTAGATATTTTGAAAAAGTTGAAAAAAACGTTGAAAAAAACGAAATAACGCCTTTTACGTCGTGTTTCAGCCAATGCCGATCTTGGCTTTTTTGTTGGCATTTTCGTGTTGCTTATATTACCCACAATTAGCCGGCTCATGTGCTGTTAATTCTAATTAAATAATTAATTAACGGTCACCTTTTTTTTAAAAGTGGAGCTGAATTGGTATGATCGTATAGGCTAAATTTGACACATTTTGGGGTCTAAAATTACCTTCATAGCAATTTTAGGTTCTAAAAGGGCACTATAAATGTGAAAACAGAACTCAACTATCCCTTTAAGTAGCTTTGATAAAAACAATTTATAAGACTCATTCACATCAGAGCAACAATAAATTGAGGACCAATCTGTAACATGCAGTTCCGCAATTAATTCATTAATGCCATCATTTGTAATTTTGCGAGATAATTTTTGAGTGTTTGATACATTATTTACATTACATTCAATTTGAGAAAGATGAAAAATAGGCAGGTGGTCAGAAATGTTCACACACAAACTTCCACCATCAACTGTAGAATTTATAACATTGGCAGATATATTATCAATTAAGGGAGCAGTATTTACAATAATACGAGTAGGATTTTGTATGAGTGGTACGAGGCCATACGAAGAATTGATACTTAAAAAATTGGCAGCATCAGAACTACTTAAATGTTTAAGGATATCAATATTAAAATCCCCAGTAATGTATAAGTTCGAATGTTCACATTTGAGCTTACATAACATATCATCATAACAATTTAAGAAATCATTAGTATTATCACTTGGCTTTCTGTATATAACACCAACTGTAGTTTTGGTGTGACAATGATTGATGATATCAATAAATATATATTCATAATCATTTATCTCATTATGATTACAAATAATATGATCATTTCTTACTCGATATTTCAACTGATTTGATACAAGAAAAGCTACAGCTCCTCCTCGACCAAAATGTCTACTGGAATTCAAAAATGTATAACCTTCTAGCTCAAAGGGTAAAAGTGGTACATCAGTAATCCACGTTTCAGGCACTGCAATAATTGAAAATGAAATTTGAATTGATGATATAATTTCAGAAATTCTTTCGAAAATTGTCTGAAGGCTACGAGCATTGACATGTAATATACTGAGACCATGATGTTTATGAAACTTTATTTTAAACTCATTTGGTGTGTAAGAGCAAGAATCTGTATTCAATAGGTTATATAAATTTGAATCTGGATCAATATCAGCTAACGGATTCATAAATACATTCAATAATATTTATATTTTCCAATGCATCAGGGTATATATAAAGATTAAATTGTAAATACATGAATACTGGCTGCTGAAAGTTACAGTTAACAGTATACAATTGTTTCTGTTCCTCTGACATACATTCAAACATACTAAAATGAAAAGAAAAAAAGAACATACTTTGTAAAAAAAGAAAAAGAACAATTTAAATATTAAAAACAGTGCATTAAAACAAAGAAGAGGAATATCCGAAAATATTCACTGATCAAAGTCCAGTTAGGAGGACATAACAAACAACTGTGTGTCATCCATCCAGGTAAAAGTTAAAATGAGATTATCCTATAATTATTATCCTTCGTATCTCTGCTTCCTAATTACAGTCACTTTAGTAGATCTTTGTTATGAATGACTTTAATGCCCAAATTTTTTATCTTTGGACAGGGCAAAGATGCGACCGTCTGAACTCCAAACATGTTGTTCCGTGGGACAAGCTTTTGAATGATTAAGTAGTTCCTGGTTACTAGACGTGAGGTCTTCGACTATTGACTTATTTTGACCTTTCAGTCTGCGCCTTTTCCTAAGGATCTCCTGCCTTTTCTTGTATGTTTTAAGCTTTACTATAATACCACGTGGTATCTGTCTGTCATTCTTTCTCCTTCTTTTTCCCTACTCTATGACTGATATCGATGTCTTCTAATCGAAGGTCTACATGTATAATTTTATTCGCTTTGTCAATTATGATCTTATCAGCGTTTTCTCCATTTCTTTCCGCGCAGCCAAATACCCGAATACAGTTTCGTTTGGAGTATTGCTCCTGATCATTCACCTCGTTGTCTATTCTAGCAAAGTGATTTTGATGAGTGCTGACTTTGTCTTTGAGAATCGTAATTTCCTTTGATTTGTTGTCGTTGCTAGTCTGCAAGTCAAATATATCTGCTTTCAGCTTATGAATAGACTCTTCCATTTCATTCATTCTTTTTTTAATAGATTCCTCAACCTGCTGAATAAAGCCTGCATTATGTAGAATGTCTTTGATGATGTCCTGCACTAAAGCAGGGTTGATACGCTCCTTGGTAGATCTAGCTCTGGTTACAGGTGCTTCTTTAGAGATATGAGTGTGTGCAGTAATGTGAATGAATATTGTAAAAGCGTGTTCACTGATCACACAACATAACTCTATTTGTATTTTAGCTACGAGGAAGTACTCCCTTTTCGTTATTTTATTGAGGTACTGAATAGAATGCACACTTACAAAGTGTAGACAAGTCTAGCAAATAAATGATTCAGAATAAGAATCACATGAATGAGAATTGATAATATTGCTGTTGTTGTTGTTGTTTGGTATTATCGGCGTTTCATTCTTTTTACGGAGATTAAATGGTCATATAATAAGATGGACATGAATAAATGCAGTGAATGAATATAGCTAACGACAATGATAGAAATGAAATCGACAGTCCAATGAAGATGATGACGGATGAAACGAAGGAAGGGGCTCACGCGATGAGGATGCGGCGGATTGAAGGCGGAGATGCAGCTTCGTTGTCGTGGCTGAAAAGCCGTGAAGGATGTCAACGCTGACGCTCATGATGATGATGATGATGAAGAAGCTCTCAGGCGAGAAGAGAAGAGAAGAATGTGGCGCTCGACGATGAAAACAGTGAGTCGTTTGATGTCAGAGATCAAGGTAGAAAATGCAGGCATCAAAGCCGGCAGTGGTGTTGAGCAGTGAGCCGCTTGATTGATGCACCGAACTTTGATGGTGAAATTCATCAGAGTTGCAGTGAGTCGAACTCGTAGATGAGGTGGCAAACGAACTACGGTGAGTCGAGTTTGTGTGTGAAAAGCTACCGGAGACGAAACTGGCAGCTCCCGGCGGAGAATCAAGCGCTATGTTGGGTCCTGATTTAAACGTTCCACTGGGAAACTGCCAGCCCATTGAAGACGGCAGAGAAAGAGTTGACGTGCCGTAAAAGAGGTGATAGGCACGGAAGAATCTCGAATGTAGAGAAAAACTCATAGAGACGTCTGGACCCAACTGAGATGTAAGCAGGAGTGAAGAAATTAACCTCGTGGTGTTGAAAATACGCGGGTGAACGATGCACGGAACCACGATGCGTGATTGAAGGAATAAACACACGTGGTCCGAATAAAGAATATAAATAAGTACCGTGATGGAAAATTACTGGAACATGAATGTACAATAAAAGTAAGGTGAATGGATTAGTCGCTACACTTCCAGCTTGTTTGCCATTATTTGAAGAAATCAGGTTAGGGACCTCACATGAATGATCAAGAGGGGCATCAATGGTACAAAACCAGCTGAAACTTTGGAAAGTAGCAATGGCTTTCTTGAAGAGACAATACACAAGTTACATAAACAAATACCGAAGCTGGGAGTATAATAGAGCAAATTCAATCCGACGTAGGCAAGTAGAGTAGTCGCCACAGTGCAGATGTGTACCAACTTTAGGAAAGATACACCACAACTTTGAATACATGGGGCTGTAGTAAACACATCACTTAGAGAGTAAATCTCAAATATTAAAAAGTCACCTAAAATATGACTCCAAGCTGTGACATCATAATTCCAAAAGATTCCTGGAGGATTTCAGTTGTGCAAAGAACTTTTACATGGTAAAAAGTAAATCAATATATTATCCAAAAGGTAGAATTTACAACTGCCGGGCAGCGACTCTACCACCAGTCCATCACTGGTCCATGGCACAGTCCCGCTGGTTCCAAGATTTTTATTGACTTGATTTTCAATTACAGATCGCTCAATCGATCTTATTTATTGGGTGTAAGCAACAAATATGTTTAAATAATTAAAATTTCTCCCAGGAAGCATTACATTTATAAAAGTTATTGACCTGTGGCGGACTAATGAATATTAATCAGTCAGAATGAATCAGTGAAGCTTGGGTATTTGTTTCTAGTTCATCTTGACTGTGCCATAGACCAGTGATGGCCTGTTGGTAGAGCCGCTGCCCGGCAAGTAGTAGATGCAGGTTCAAGTCCGGCTGGTTCCAAGATTTTTTCTGACATTTTTAAAAATTACAGATCGATCAATCGACCTTATTTACTGGGTTTAAGACACCAATATGTTTAAATAGATGAAATTTCTCCCATGAAGCATAACATGTATAAAAGAAATAATCATTGATGAAAATAAACTTCATGGTACCAAACGGTAACTAACATTAAAATACATTAATACATATCACTATCAATTTGTATCTTGCTGAGGAAAAAAAAGTAAGATGATTTACCCACCAGTAAATGGGTCTTCAATGCGGTCCACTGAGGAGACAAAGGTGAGAAAAAAGATTGGAATTAATATAAAAATTAAATCTTGTTTAAATGCAAAGTGTACCACAGTCAGGTGGAATTGTGCCTAACTAGGAGTTGGGGGAACATTTCGGAATAGTTTAAGAAGCGAACGGTAAATCCAGCAACATCGAGTACATTAATTTGCAAACGATTGTTTAATGAATGCCTGGGTTTATTGGCTGTGGACAGATTAACCGATTGAATGAGTGTTGAATTGAATCGAACGGCTGTTGTAAATCAAATACAATGTCACCACATCAGCGCCCTCTGAGCCAAGTAAGAATAACTTACTGATCCGAACAAACAGGTGAAGAGGAGGATCGCTAGATGGGACAACAGTCAAGTCATTCTCCTCACTGAGATAGCACGTGGATGGAGTATAGTCAAACGATCTACATATGAAGCTGGAGGCTGACACACAGGCCGTGGCACATTCTTCAACCGTGACGCTAGACAGGACTGCGTTGTTGTAACCTGTAAGATGCCTTTCTTTGATGAACATAAAATCTGTACGACCCGTCACAAGGACTAAGGAATGGAAGGAAAGGACGAAGCACAAGGTCAGTGTCATTTCGCCAAATATTCTATCTGAATGGTAAATAATCCCTGATTTTTATATTATCGGGATCATTATCAGTATCATCTGCATTGTCGGCGTCGTCGTCATCATTATCTCCATCATCATCATTATATTCATCGTTTAAATCATAATCTGCATTGTCAACGTAACCATCATCTCTATCATCTAACAAGTATGATAACCAACATTTCTCGGAGCGCAAATTTAATTTTGTTTTATACTACTTCTCTTTCTGGGAGTCATAATGCCAGATACGTTTACTGCCAACCTCTTTTAGAATAACAATTTTTTACGAAGCTATGTGATAATAAGTAATCATTTTCATATAAAACTTACAAGATTCATCTCCCTTGCAGTATAATGGTCCTAGTGTATAATACCCGTACTCGTTTGCTAGTCCTGTCACACCGAACCTCATTTCAGTAACAGGTAAAGTAGTCTTATCGGTAAGATACCCCGAGTCCTCTCTCCAGTTATTGTCATTAGCATCGCAGTTGCATTGGTGACCGTTGTGACATGAACCTGAAAGACAAAGATAAAGATCCATTCGTTCATAGCTTATCTCGATGGGATATATAGGATTTTCATTTAAAATTAAACGTATTTACATGTTTTTCCGAGGTGCTTGGTTTTTGGTTTAGTGCGCAGAAAGCTGCAATGTTTACAACTTTTGCAACGCCAATTCTTCGGTTTATGTTATGGAATAATACTTCACTATTTGAGATAATGTTTTACAAGGACAGTACTGCTGTTGCATTCAAGTGAGATAATCCCATTCCATTCAGTGCAGATTAATCAATATACAGAGTTTGAGCAACACGGTTCTAGTTGGTTACACTATTGCGAATACTGCTTTGTCGAGGGCTAGCACAAAAAAAAATGAATAAGAATACGTCATGTTGTAACCAACTGATGCCAAGTTGGCCAAACTCTGTACATGGATAGCTCTGATCATGTAAGCCAAGGATGCCCTCTAAGATGACCTACAATCATACCTGAGATTCCACAAGCGCACTGTCCGCTGTCTACCGTGGCTCCACCCCAGTAGTTCTTTTGTTTTCCGTCTCTGTCATACCAAGCAGTAGAGCCAGTCATTTGGAAATGATGGCATTCGTACTTAGACGGTAATGGAAGAGAAAAAAAGAAAATAAATATCACCTTGGGATTGCTGAATATCTGCGATCACAGGAAAATAGGTAATGTTGAACCCTAGATATGATGTAGCATGTCATAGTATAGTATTAATGACTGATTTGAGATAAATAGTTGTTTTTATGCTCTCAAGGGAAAGTTACAATTGTGCTATTGCCCGAGGCGTGCCGAGGGCAATAGCCTAATTTCCCGAGAGCGTATACAAACAACTGTTTCTCGAATATTAAAGCAGTCATTAATACTTTTATATGCCGAAAAAATAAAGAGTCAACTTATGACACCACCTTGGCCTTTCTCTAGTTTATCTGCACGGTTGTCGTTTATGAGTGTATCTTTGAGAGTAGACTAGATCTAGATGCTAGTCTAAGCAAGATATTTTTACAATTTTGGGGGTGGGCCGGCCCTGTGGGGAATATGGAAAAAAACCTGCGCTTTCATATGACACCTCACTTATTGAGTATCACCTTCAGGATCACGAGCAATATCAGTTTGAATCTCTGGTAATTAAAACATCGACCAATTTAGCATGAGTGCGCAATGGCCAATTCATAGGGATGTGTGCAATCTCTACGGGAAGGATTTTAGCACTACTAGAATCTAGGCCTAGACCTACTAGATCTATTTTGAAAAAATGAATGGAGAATTTCACGTACCCTTTTTGGTGTTCTTGCTGTCAGCAAGTCTTGCATTTGATCATCATCAAGAAGTTGACATCTTGGGAGAGTTTCTTCAGCCATTTTTGCCTTGTTTGTACAATCGTGATTGCCGTATTAAAAATACCGACCAATTCTCCTCTTCTTCTTCTTCGTTTGATATTATAATGGCTATTAGTCAAATTTGACTATTGTTGCCAATTTCATTGCATCTCTTTCTTTTAATTTCTTGGTAAAATTATTATTTTTTCTTTCTTTTTCCAATCTCATTTTGATATAATATTAGTCATAGTCTACAAAAAACAAAAACAAAAAGTTATTTCAAATTAAACTACGATCCGCACCCAGTTCCAACTCACGCTGGCCCTGTCCTTTCTATGATGCCTTCTTACCAGCCCAGCGAGTTACGTTACGCCGTACGCTTCTCGGTTAATACACTCAACCTATGTCACTCTGGCATAGACAAGGGGGCGTCGTGTCCCTGTATGTTTAGAGGGTTTATTTATTTATTAGGAGAAAAACAAATGCATATTAAGCAAAACACTTTTGGGCTTTATTAGTTTATATGAGTTAGTTCATGAGATTATTTATATAGTGCATGACTTTTAACCACTATAATAATTGGGGTGGGGGGGGGGGTGACAAGCTTTCGAGTAAATAGCAAGTTTTAATTGCTTTTGTCACCCTGGCCAGCAGATTGTATCCTTCTCTCTCTCCTCTCCACTTCCCTAAAGTTGTGTGTATGTATTAAGATATGTTTTCCTATTGGTCAAATAAATAATAATAAATTGTTTCAATTATTTGTTTGTTTTTATTTTTATTTTATTTTTTAATTAATAGGCCTATATAAGGTTAAACACAAAATACCTCTTTTCTCTTCTATTCAGTTCAAATTAATTGCGGTTTCTGTTTTTCATCTATTTTTGATTTTACTCTATACATAATCGCTTCGTTCTAAAAACGAAGCGAGCAATTGCCATTTGTACACGAGAGTCACTGTTTCGTAAACATATCATAATTTCCTCTTCCTTGGAAATATTAACTTCTGACATTAACATGGCCCTTTCTATTATATACTTTGGACATTGTATCAAAAAGTGTCTGACCGTTTCTAATGTTGGACAGCTGTCACAGAAACCTGTGGAGTGGATGCCCAAACGTAGGAGGTCTTGATTGAGTCCAGACACTCCCAGGTGTAGTAGCCTAAGAATAGTTTCAGTTTTTCTTCCTAATTTACAAGAATATTGTGTGATAACATTTGGCTGAAGGATTTTTAATGCCGATTGGGTATCATTCCACCTTTATGGTCAAAGTAACTTTGAACTGTACAAAATTAAACTTGTCTTTTCAAATAACGTCAATTTATTATGCATTTCAATTTCCAGAGTTAGAGCTTTTTTTGCGTAGAAGTCTGCCTTTTCCTTTCCCACTATCCCACAGTGGCCTGGAATCCATTCCAAAGCGATTTCGATCCATATATATTTCAATCGGGTCGTTATTATAAATATTTCTGTGACAAAGGATTCGTCACTAAAATGTTTCAAGGCTGTGAGGGCACTTAAGCAGTCGCTAAAAATGACTGCACCTGTATAGATATTTGTTTCTTCGATCCATTGAAGGGCAAGAACAATGGCAGCCAACTCGGCTCTATACGATGAGGTAAAATTCGCTAATCTTTTACATTGGTGTACAAAAAAGTGTTGGATATAGAAAGCATCCGAGCATTGGCCCTTCTCCGGAAACCTAGATCCATCTGTATATATATATACAACTGGTTCGACCATTTTGAATTAATCAATTCTAAGCTTTGTTGTTGAAGATCATTCGGATGGTCGGCTTTTGAAATCCGAGAGCTCAACTCGGTCGAAACCAGTGGGGGTTCAAAAAGCTATGGCGGGAATGGGGATGGTACGGCAGTTTCTGTCATGAAGTTTTTTTTTTTTTTTTTTTATTTTACTCTGGGTTCTATACCCGAAAGGTTTACTAAGAAAGTCTTTTCCCTTGAGATAATCAAATTGCCAACATGGCCCTATGTTTTGTGATAATGGGTGGTTTGGGGATCTTTCGATACTTTGTGTATATTTACTTGACACAATTTGTCTCCTTAGATCCAAGGGAAATTCACCCATTTCCACTTGTAATGATTGTAGGGAAGTGAGAGGTAGTCCTCCCGCACAAATCCGTAGCGCCTGGTATTGCATCGAATCAAGTGCCTTTTTTGTGGTGGTAGTAGCGCTATCGTGAGCCTCACATCCATAGTCGAGTAAAGATCTTATGAATGCCCTGTAAACCTTTACGAGGGATTTAGAAGAGCTCCCCCATTTAGTTCCCGTTAAACATCTTAGGATATTCAATTTTCTTTTACATCTCTTTACAACATTTTCCACATGTGGCTTCCAGGTCAATTTCTTATCAAAAGTTACCCCCAGAAAATGATGAGTATTCTGAAAGGGCACTTTATTCCCGTCTAATTCTACTTGCGGTGGTGAGAGATTCATTGTACTTTTTGTAAAAAATATAGGGACTGTCTTATCAGCCGAAAGCCGAAATCCCCATCTGCGAAACCAAGTCTGGAGCCTATTCAGGTATTCCTGTAGTTTGTTTGATATTTGAAGGATATCCCTACCTGATGCCCATATGTCAAAATCATCAGCATATACAGCTAAAGGCACTGAAGGATCTGTAGGGATATCACTAATCATTAAATTAAATAGCAGTGGACTCAAAATACTTCCTTGTGGGAGTCCATTATGCATATCATATGTTTTTGATTCAGTATTATTAATTCTTACCTGACAGGTACGTCCTGTCAAATAATTTTGTAGATATTGTGACAAATTTCCTTCTATTTCTTTTTGGGCGAGTTTGAATAGTAGTCCATTTATCCATAATTTATCATAAGCTTTCTCAATATCTAGGAACACAGCTATTATGTGCTCATTACAATTTATACTTTTCTGAATATCGTTTTCTAGGAGAACTATGTTGTCTATGGCACTCCGCCCTTTTCTAAACCCGCTAATAAAATTAGGTAGTATCTCATGTTTTTCCACATACCATTGCAATCTTTCTTTGATCAAACGCTCGATTATTTTGACGAAGCATGATGTGAGTGAAATGGGTCTATATGATGACGCTTTCCGGGGATCTTTTCCAGGTTTCAAAATTGGTATCAAAATAGAGTGCTTCAGTGGAAGGGGTATTTCCCCTGTTCCCCAAATCCTGTTTATTACATCTAACATAACCTTTTTAGTTTCTTTAGGAAAGTTTTCATACACCTCATAAGGAATGTTATCTTGACCAGGGGCAGTCCGCTTTTTTGACTGTACTGCCTTTTCTAAATTCAATGAGTAAAAAGGGTTCATTGATAACACTCTCCTGAATATTCATGCTATTCTTTACTAAAGCTAAATACTGTTCATTTACCCTATCTTCTGTCATTCCTAAAGATTGAAAGTAGCGTCCAAAAAAAACATCCACCTTTTCATCCTCCCGAGTTATTTCTTTGTCATTTTCTGTCAATGATGACATATTTTTTGACCTCGCACCAGAAACACCATTTAGTCGTTTTATGCAGGTCCAGATTTTTGACTCAGGCATGTAATGGTTCAGTTTCGTGCAAAAGGCTTGCCAATATTTTTGTTCTGCTTGGCGGAGAACTCGTTGTGCCATTGTTTTCTTGTTACAATAATCATCTATATTCTCCAGTGTTATCATTGTACCTTTAGAGAGCTTGTTACTCGCTTTATTTATTTCTTTAATTTTAGCAGAAGATTCTTTTGTCCACCATGGGACCGGGTTTTGTTTCTTTTTACGCTTTTGGGGAACAGTTTCCTTCATAAATTATTTTAAGTACTCCATAAATTGGGTGTACATTTCCTTTACATTTGTGTTTTGTAATGTAATCTATCCATTTAATACTTATTCACATTTCTTTGCAAAATTGGACCAGTTTATATTCTTAAAAGAAAAAGGCTTTTCTACCACATTTCCATTAAGCATACCTGCATTTGCTCTATGCGAATCTGTACTTTTTTCGAGAGACACTTGGAGAGAGATTGGGAAGTGGTCACTACCAAACGTACTCCGCATGACTCCCCATGTAGACTTACACGCTAAAGAAGGAGATGTGATACTTAGATCCAGACATGATGTTTTCCCCGTTCGTGGGTCTAATCTGGTCCCCTCTCCATTGTTCAAAATAATCAAACTGTTCTTATTCAAAAAATGTTCTATAACTTCATCGTTTTTGTCTGTTTTCTCGCTGCTCCATAAAACATTATGAGCATTAAAATCTTCCATTATTAGGAC